GCATTTTCCCACCGCGAATTCTCCCCCCTTGTCAGTTCGGCTTCTGTGTCCTCACAAAGGAATCGGAGCATGGCGCGAAATCTATAGGAAATTCCGAAAAATCCACTATCACCGGAACATTTGTATGTAAGCCGAGGAATCGGGCTAGGGCTTCGATTGTTCTCACCAGGGCACTCGCAGCGGACGAGAAGCTCGGTCAGATAAATGAGCTGGCGGTTGGAACTTGGCCAAGTCAAGTTCGGCAGCAGCCAGCTCCAAGAGGAAGCGCTACCCGTCTCAGGAGCTCGGGACCTCTCGGTCGCGGCAGCCGCGGAATGCTGCAACTCTTCCTGGTTACTACGAGCTCCTTGAGGATGTGTCACGCTCGAGTGGTACGAACGACTGTTCGTCTTAGTGAATGGGGGGAGCCGACTGCATACCTTTCCTGTTTCCTGGAGGCCACGAGTTTCTCTTTTCGTGTCAAAGGAAACTTCCTGTCATCCGAGTCAAGTAGGAGAGAGGAGAAGTTGAGGCGGATCCGTGATGGAGCTTTAATTTGCTTCAAGAGCGCGATCCATGCAAGTCAGAGCGGAAGAATCAGTCTGAGAAATGCGATGATTGCTTTTGCCAGTACATTCTATTGTTCTCTCGTCGCGGTACGTGTTTTGTTCCTGTGACCGCACTTGTCCGAGTCGGTGAAAGATGACGGCTCATATCGATTCTCACCGACGCCTCCGAGGGAAATTCCCTTGGACACTCGGATGGATATTTTGCTGTCTATAGAATTCGCCTGGGTTCGAGAAGCCTCGAAACCCAATACTATATATTCGGAGAAGTCACGACCGTGGCAAAGACAAGAAAATCGAGAACAGGGTTCCGGCCTCAAGGCAAGAGCTCCGAGCGAGCGTAGGAAATTCCATCGCTCCGGAATCCTCCGTACGCGGCTCGCGTACGATATTTATGACCATCGCGGTCGTCGTTCCCGTCGTGCGACGATCGAGAGCGTTGTTCATCAGTATGTGGGTGGCTGTTGGGATCGCCGCCGTATCGATCGCTTCCTCTTTTTTTCTTTCTCGCACATTCTGACCGAGGCCTCGATCCAATAATTTCGACATAATTACGTTGGCGGTCGCATTCGCGAAGAAACGTCGAGATACACTCTCGTCACTCGGAAACGACTTCTCCGATACGGGAAGGCAGAAATCTCTGGGAGCGAAGAATTTTATTCATATCTTGCCGAGACATCCTCCGGTGGCTACAAGTCCTGAGGAGCGAACACTCTCAGTGTCTCGTGTCTTGCTCTCGCGCGAGGTGCGGATGTCGAAATTCTGACGTGTCTGTCGACAGTCTCTAGGAACTCCGGAGATGCAATTATCGCTAACAGGAAGGAAATTGCGGTAATCGTTTCTTTTGTGGATTCGACGCACTCAGAGGGACTTGGAAATATTGGGGTCCCGACCGCGGGTCCATTGTGAGAGGAGGGATTGAGAAAATCCGGAAGGGCAGCCCAGAAACTGCGGTCCTATTAAAACGATTTCGGTGTCAATGGAGGAGCCCTCGCTCGATTCTGCGAGTTCACTGAAGAGCCTCCCTCCTTCTGTGTCGATCCGGCAGAAACGAAAGCTCGGAGTCTGATTGAGGGTTGAGCTCTCTCAGGCCCGAAAGTGAAATGCCTATCGGACCAGCTCTTCGCACGATTTCGAAAACGTTCCCGGCGAAAGGGTATTCAGAATTTATCACGCGATAAAAGTTCAATGGACAATTTGCGTGGAGATGCACCGCGAAAGAGGATTACCCACGCTCTCTATCTCGACAAATCGTTGTGCGGAGCAGCCGCCGTCATCGCGTCCCTCGGAGCACGCAGTCTAGCCGAAGCGCGTACCAGGCGCGATATCATACAGGAATTCGAATTCCACCGTGTTCGCGGGGTGACCCCGTCGTCGGTCCCGTCGACTTCTCCAGGAGCTTCGCCGGAAGTTCGGCGCCGAATGGTTCCCATCAGAGCATCGAGATCGACTTGGAGGAACATTGCTCATGATTGAAAGCCATCTGACGACTACGACGACTAGTGCACGGAATCGGTCGAGCGAGTGATTGGTCTCTTGGGTGACTACGTACATAGTCGGGTGGGAACGAGAGCGAGCGCGGGAGGCATGTCGGGAAGCGCCGGGTTCAAAAGCGAGCGAGCTTAATTCAACAATGTTCGAGAAAGTAGAAAAAATCCTCTGAGTTCCGCCAGTCGACGTTAAACAATCGCACATGTCGAAAGCAGCGAATTCCTTTTGTCTCAAGTCCCCTCCTCTTCGAATCCAACGATGGTCGAACATGTTCGCCGTCTGCGCGGCGGCAAGCTGTCAAACGTTACAGTGAAACGATCGCTTTGAGTGTTGCCAGACTAAACGTTCAGTCAAACGAGCGCTTTTCCGGAACGGTCGCATTCTGAGCGGAAGATCTCTTTGCGTTTCGCGCAGTTTTGCAACAATGGTATTGCGTGTTCCGAGAGGAGAAAAAACTCTGCGGGGCCGCCGTAGAGCTCATATCAGGTTTTCGGCAGAACGGAATCTCGAGGCAGGCCTCTTGGGGCTGGAATGTGTTTTTCACAAGGGCGTGCACTATGTTGCAAATGAAGGCTTTGTTGAAGACCCTTCGGCTTGCCTCTGGTGAATCTGATCGACGGTTTCTTAAGTCTCTCCTCTTATGATGCAGATTGAGTGCTTTGTTCTGAAATCGAGTCTGATCTCTTTGGAACAAGTTGCGAGGTCACTCAGAAGGGCTTGAAGGATTTTCCGCGCATTGATCGAGAAGAAAACGTCCTCTCTGTGATCCGGTGCTCTAACGAAGAGTATCCTTCGGCTGGTACCACCTCCTTCCCGAATCGAGTGGATGGAGTGGATTCGAATGGGCACCTTGACGATCGGACCAATTTCTCAGGAGGAATGAAAATGCCACATCCCGAGAAAGCAGAGCCCAGCGCTCGCGTGGACGTTCCGTACGCATTTTCTCCGGCGACGACGTCTCAATCCCATACTGCTGAAGTGTGGGGGAAAAAACGAAAGATCGAGGGAGAGAATCGGGCGGAATGGTCTTTCTCGCAAGATTTCCTCGATGCCGCGTCCATCGCCCTATCTGCCTTCGATGGGACGAGCGACGAAGCTCTCAAAATGTACTTACGGAATCGTTCATCGCTCCGTTCCCGTTCGGCTCATATTCGCTATCGGACAACGCGACGTCCAGTCAGATTTCTCTATACGGAGATCGGAAGTGCTCCGCTTTAGTGCATCGGGCGGACGGAACAGATGTCGGATAAGAAGTATATAGTCGCAGCGAGGCGATGGCGTATCCGAAAGAATCTTCATCATCACCACAGCACCCCCATTGGCAAACGGAAGGAAAAATACGGGAATATATAATTTGCATTTAGATTGAAGTGCGGCTCATTCGATAGCGGCGTAACGCGTTCGGACCCGTATATTTACCCATTGATACCGATTCTAGGGAAGAGATCTGGCCGGAGCTCGAATTATACGAACACCTGATGCGTGCGCAAGCCCGAAAACTTGAGGAAACCCAGAGATGAGATGTCCAATTAGTTTCACCGCAGAGAATTCACTCCGCACTCCTCGGAGAAAGAAGAACAGCTCACAGTTTATTGAAACAACCGAGAGAGGGAGAGTCACTCGACGAATTATGTTTCGAGCCTTGGCTTCACGCAAAGTCCGATGTAGGAACCCGGACGTGTGTTGCTTGTGAGCTCGGCGCTCCCAACAACGTTCATTACCGGCAAGCTCAGCTCGTATTAAGTTTCAATTTGCTCGAGGGACGGTCGCCGCCGCAAAGGGAGCCTACTTGGAGATCCGCAGACCCGCAATGTGCGAGCAGAGATCGTTGCATCTTTTTTTATACGAGCCGCCCGTGTATTGTGTTCGTTTATTCGCTGCGAGGCGAGAGTCTCAACGGCGCTTGTTGAGCGAGCAAGTGAGCACAAGAGCAAGCAGACAGGGAGGCACGGAACCCAATGCTATTTAGTCCCCACAGGTGCGAGAGCAGCCAATTCTGCGGCCACAAAGGACCAGATAGGACAGTCGTAATAAGCACAGCGGAAACTCCACGGAGAGGATCAAGGCTTCGGCTTACCGGGAGCAGCAACGATTCTTTTCGAATATCGGCCAAGACCACTCAGTGCCGGACCGACTGAACGGAGAGATTCGTTCTGGTGTAGCTAAGTGATCTCTCCGATCAGCTCCCATCAAGCAGCGGGAAGACTGGAAAATCCGGATATGAAAGGTCGATCCAGGAGCATTTCCAGGATCTGTGATTCGCGGATTTTTTTTCGAAGAGAAGGGGAGTCGCATCGCACCGATGAGATACGCAACGCTTTTCCCCGAACACGAATATTGTTCGGGGAACGGAACCTTCAACGCCTGAGATCTGGTCCGTCAGATCTCCCCGAGCGGTTATTATCCGATTCTCGCGCTGACCCTCGCAGCTATCAAGCAGTCTGTCTGCTGCGAATCCACCCGGTGACAGGATCCACACGGAAGGGCGCTTCCGCAGGAGTGTTTTTCTCCGTGTTCCCTGGAGACGTAGCTCCTTCGGAGAGCCAACCTTATTTGAGTCACGTGCCCAGTAGTTTATCCATCGGTCCCTGCTGCTAGGAGTCCTTACCGAGTTCCCAAGAGCTGAAGCGGCTCTCGGGCTGTGCGAATTCGTTTCCTCAAAGGAAAACGTTCAAGGAAATCATGTGGTCCAGATCGAGAACCTCCGCGTCTTTGGTCTCTCCTCAGTATTCTTCCCTGCTTCTCACTGCCTAGTGTGAGGCTCGCGGAATTCTAGCCGATTCACTCAATTGTACATATTTGGGCAGTAGGCTCCGTCCCCGACCCGTCTGAGATCCGAATCATTGGCAGGTACAACGACATGAGTATCAACCGAATCTTGGTAACCGAATCCCGGGCTCGAAATCGCTGAGCGGGATCTCGGAGAGACTTGCGAAATCCCTCGCCTTCGAGATGGTCTTCGACAATGCCAGGAAATGCACGTTTTGAGTAGATGCACGGACTTCCAACATCGCACTTCACCAGCCTCTGAACGTGCCGGAGGTCATTCGTGAATCGAAGCTCGTTCTGCACCAGTTTGAACCGTAGGAACCTCGGAGCTTCGATCGGAAATTTCTCTTCGCTATCGTATTTGTGCGAGTGAGTTCGAATGAATTTTGCTGCCCTATACATCGAATCTCCGAATGTGAATCTCCCGCTAGGGATGATAACCTGCCTATTTCGCAGTTGGGACCATGGATTCTTACGGAGACCAAGGTGGACAAGAAGCTCTCGAGACAAGATGGACCGACGAAATGCTTTTGAGACAGCTGGTTATGACCTATCCCGATTCACTAGATCTTCGTCCTCTGGGGAAAAGGCGAGTGACCACGAAGGCGGTCGACGCCGACTTAATCGAGGAGTTAGTTTCCGCTCTCCAAGTCGAAACTGAAGCTAAGGGGAACAATTGTGCCTTGTTCTGAAAATACTGCTTGACTCTCGGGAAAACTTTGACTTTCGTGAATGAAGAATAAATCGTCTGGTGCTTTATTGTGAAGACCTGAAAGCGCTCCCCGTAACTCTTCTCGTGTGATTAATAATAATCTCCTGCATGATTGGAGTTTTGTTTTCTCGCCCCTAATGGACCACATCGGGAACATTCTTCCGGGAATTTCGGACTTTTCCTCGACAAAGCGTAGCCTGAGCCCGATTCACGTGCTCTGTCAGAAACCGATTCCTCGATTCGACAGTGAGTAGCATCGTCAACCCCATTCAGAAATCGTTGAGCGTATGGAATGCTTTGGGTGAAAAGTGTTGGAAAAAGACTTCGCCACTCCGCTCCACCGACCAGCACAGTCGATTGATTCTTCGTTAACGCTTGAAGTGCTGCGGAACAAACAAAGCTTCTTAGCGACGCTTCCCAGCCATCCGGATAAAGGCCGCGACACGTTTCTGTTTATGCTGACGGGAGAGAATTTCGACGTTGCGTCGTCTCGACGACGGATCTTTTGTTTCTCAGACTGGAGCCAGGCTATCGACAGGCAGTCGAGTGCTTAGCGCTTCTGTCACTTGTGGAGCCATGCCCCCCGTTCAGCGTGCGGAGTTCTCTCCGTGGAAAGCCGCTTCTCTCTCCAACCTCTACTCTGTAGGATAACATTGCTAGAATGACAGACATTTTCTCCAGAGAGATTTCTGATTTGGGTTTCCATCCGAGTTTCCTGGAGGCTTACCCTCTGGGTTCTGGTGGAGGCTTCTGTGAAGAAGGCTCCGATTCCTTATTCTTACCAGGGCTGGCAAGTTACGGCCGCGACCCTCTCGGGTGCTTCCGCTCCCTGGGCTCATCCTCGAAGGTGATACCTCATCGGTGGTATCTGGGACGTTTCATTGAGGCTCTCAACGAAGTCGGAATAGGATTGGCTTGGATTAACAAACCGCCTCGCGCTTTTTTTGCTCGCGAGCGCTCCCTCAAGTTCGAGCTTGAGGCTTTGGAATCGCACTCAGTCAGGAAGCTCGGTCAAAGATGCTTTCGTAATGGTCGACGGCAGAATTCCTTCCATCTCGCTTCCAAGCGCCGAGCGCGACAGGGTTTGTGGAACGACGCAGATTCCGAGGCTGGAAAATGGGTTCTCCCTTCGGCCGTCGCTCCGGTCGCCTGCCTTGACGTTGGTCGTTTACTTCTCGCTCCGTCAAATATTGCAGCAATATATGAGTAGATATTTGAACATATTTGCAAATACGGCCGAGTTCTCCACTTTTTCCCAAAACCGTCCGTCGGCTCAATGCTAAATTCTCTGCGGCGAAGGATGCCGGTTCGAGCCCTGGCTCTGTGGCGAGCCTGAATGGACTCCTCCTCAATCACTTCTACCTGAGCATTCTGATAGAAACCTCCCGCGCGACACTGTTTATCCCGATTGCCTCTGCGTGGGGCGCTCGCTTCCAGACACGAATATCGATGCCCCAAGTTTCGTTGTACATATATCTACCTCGTGTGGAATCCCCGAACCATCCGCTAGGATCGGACTGGTAGCTTCGGAGAACTTCGCGGGGCTTCACGTGTTGCTCGAATGTTCTCATGCAGCGCGCGGAGCTTCCGGAGCAGAACGGTGATCATCGATGCCGAGCCGCTTAATCCCAAGTTCGCCTGCCGCCAGAGCGACCTCCTCTCCTGAAAACTCAAGAGGACGGACACGAGTTGTTAGCGTCGTCGATCTAATCACGGCTCGCATCGAGTACGTTGAATAGAACGCGGGCGTCACCCGCAGAGCCTCACCTCGGCTCCATTGACTCTTTCGGTTGGTCTCGTAGGAGCAAACTAGCCAAGTATGAAGTTAGTTCGGAAACGCGTTGACGAGATTTTGACGACGCGCGCCCCCCTCATCAGCGCCAGCCATCACGTCGACGGGACGCACACAGAACCTACCGGGTCGCTGACTCGGCTCACTAGGTGGCTGACTGGTTTCCGCCACCGTCGACGACGATCTTCGTCGGAGCGAGACCTCGGCGAGATTGACAGACACATTGACTCACCGACTGACTGGCAGAGAGACAGGCGGGCGGGCAGGAAGGAAGGCGGTAGAGCGCCCACCCACGGGAGTTCGCTCCGAAGTGCCACTGCGATTCGTATGCCTTTGTAGCATCTCGTCCGCGTGCTCGTTCATGTTGTTCGCTCGACTGTCGGGACCACACAACGTGTGAACTCCGAGACGGATTGAACGTCGACTTTGTTGGTCTCCTGTCGCTGCTGCGCTTATTCTCCCTCTCCTCGTTCCTAAGAGTCTTCAGATTGATCGAGTCGCGGTAATTCGGACGGAAAACTAAACTGGCGGCACTCTTCATTGACGACTGAGAGCCGAGCTAAATGAATTCTATGCCTCCGGCTCGAGAAGTTCCGTCCGCCTACAGCTTGTCCGCATGATCGGGAGCGGATATCCAACCCAGTTGGGCGTCGCTGACCATCAGAAAAAGAGAGTTTCTTGATGTCGACAGAACGGCAATAAGCTACTCCGGAACGAGAAAATAAGCACTTTCGCACCTCGGGAGAAAAAAGGACGCCGTTCTGTGACAGGGGATCTAGGCCTCTTAAGAGGTTTTCCGGTGCTGCCGACGACTTTGTGAACGCATCTCCCGTGGAGCGAATTTCTGCTGTCAGTCTGCGCCACCGCCGGCGGGAGAAAGGGAGGCGACAAAAAGATCGTCTCGACAACAATATTGGCTTTATTAAAGTCACCAACGAGCGCTGGGCGTTCTCCCACCCGCTTCGCTCCCACCACGACTGTTTCCGAAAGTTTACAAGCTCACTATGTCACCCGAAGGGTTCCTGCGTCGACACCAACGAGCAGCTCATGGGGTCCAATGTTCCGCCGCAGCTACCCCGAATGGAATCGTAGTACAGTGAACATTGAGCGGACATCCAATTCTAGATAATTGATCGTGGTCATTAACGTGCGCGTCCGACCATTAGCCCACGCCCGATGATGATGATGCTGTTCTGATAGCATCATCATGGATTTCGATCAGAAACCTGTATCGTTGGAGTTGAAAAATTACTACAATTCCAACTTTGAACTCGTATTGAGTCTGGGGAAGGAGTTATTCTTGTATGAGCCCAGTTGTTCTGCGATAGGCGATCTTTGCCTCCCTCGACCCTCCCATGGGTCCGACCACGGCTGGATCTCTCTCCGTAGAATTTCCGGGATCAAGGCGACACCATGTTATGTACTGCCTATATAGTTGCGTGTACGTTCACGAGTGTGATATTGCTTTTCACGTACATGTATCAAGCGGAAAGAGTCAGAACTGCTCGTAAGATCGCCAAGCCCCGACTGTTGCCATCGTACAAGAGGTGTCTGTGGTAGCTTCTCATCTTTCGAATTGCGAAGGAAACAACACCCTCGAAGCATGAAGACATGAGACATAGATCACCTCCTCACTGCAGCCAGCGTCTCGCTCCTCTCGAGCGTCCCGGACCTCTCTACTGAGCTGCGATCGAAGAGCTCGCAACCTGACACCACCATCGTCTCGGTCGCATCTTATTGCGAGACTGATTCCAAACATCCGGAAACGCCCCGGGAGCCGCCCCTGCCTCCCAATAGTGGGTAGGGGGAGGGGGTTTGAGAGAACAGAAGAGCGGGGAAGCGAGCAGAAGGGGGAGCCATCCTTCCAAGTACTTCCGCATCTCGCTATCGATCTCGTGATCGTCTCAATAGCCTCGAACGGAGCAATCGACAAACAGGATGAAACAAGCGGAAACCTCTCCTCACAGAGGAAATCCCTCAGGGTAATGAGGGAATCCGAGCTGGGGACGGCGCTAAACCAGAAGAGTAAATAACAATCTTGAACGTCCGTCGTCACCCGAAACGAAACCGCACGTCCATCGAATGATTATTGGAAAGCGATACCGACGGCGCGGCGCGTCGTCTCGGCGCAGCTAGCTGCATGGGCCTTTCGTCGTTTTTTCTTCCTCGTCTCCGAGTCCCAGAGCCCGAGAGTGTTCCCCTCACACATAATCTCAGCAGGTGCGGGACTTCGGAACGGCTGCTCTCGCGAAGATTGTCAGCGAAGAAAACGAGAGGGAGTATGGGGGACGAGTACCTGATTTATCTAATACGGCGAAAAGCAATGGAAGACCAGAGATCGGAGTCAAGAATCTCTTTCAGGTTTGATAAGCCGTGCGAACTCCTCACCTCTTGTTCTCGCGTTTCCGCCTCCGAGAGTCTACGCTTCTCCCGCTGAGTTTCGTGATCCCCCGCCCGCTTCAAGCAGAATGAACTATGAAAGATTTTCCTCAAGTCACCTAACCGGAATTCAGCGCAGAAACATATAGTTCCGCTTTCGGGAAAATTCAGCAGATGTTCGACAATGGAGAATTCAATCTATTCGAGTCCGATATTGCTCATTTGACCTTTTTGTGAATTCATTAAAAGATCGCGTTGGGGAACCGACCTCAAGGCCTGGAACTTATGCGAGGTTCGTTTATTATTTTTCGAGTTCTCATGATCGAATGCATGCAGCCAGGCGGAGCATAAGTAGAAGAAGCTTTGCCTCCAAAAGTGTTCTTTCATAAATAAAACTCTCCGCGAGGATAGGAGGTCGGAACGAGGTCTTGGACCGGAAACCTGCTTCCCAATCGAGTACCTACCGTCGTGTTCTATCAGCCAAATGCACACTCAATTCGAGAGATTCCGCTGGAGGACCCTTTGAGAGGACCAGCCGAATTTTTCGCTTGGCACGGGCTGCCTCTCGATCTATCAAGCAACGTCCACGCGATTGTCCTGACGATAATAATCGGAGAACAAGAGTACCTACCCCTAATTCATGTGAGATATTCCAGGAGCCCGACCCCTCCGATTCCAAATCACGGCGAGCGATTCGCTGCAGTGCACGCAAGGCGTGCGGGATCACATCATCGCATCCCGATCAGTTGCCCTATCGGGAGGCGATCTCGACCGGAGGTTCGCACTCCCTCCGCCAGAATGTTGAATGATACGCGATACCTTGTGAACAATCGCTACGGACGGCTCACCGCAAGATATTTTCGACAAGCCGCCGCCGAAGTCAAGGAAAATCTATCCGCGATAAGC